ATGTCGCACGATGGACGTGTTCCTCACGCACGAACTTCCACGTTTTCCCCAATATTTCGGCCGTAGACCACACGTAACAGCCGTACGTTCGGTTGGGACCTAGGCTTAATCATATCATTTAATGGTCTCCCCGCTCGCACGCGGATTAAATTTCGGCTTCGAGGCTTAATTTCTAAGATCGGAAGGTCTGCGGATCATCTGTTTTGAATGCTACCTAACATGGGCTTTAGAAGTCATAACGCATTGATTCGATGTTATTACTTCGTAAGTCCAATATTGGATCAGTCTCTCTTATCATGCAATATCAATCTACTGGACGAATTAGAAAATTCGCTGTCTTTCGTATGGGGAAGGTTCGTATCGAGAGTGACTGCGCATGCGCAAATTATAAGACGAATCATTTATCATGATCCGAGACAAATTTCCGGGTTTTGATTCGTTGGATTTTCTGTGAAAGAAAAGATTAAAGAAAGCATCGCTTCATTCCAATAAACTTCTCAACAATGTTGTGATAATCAAATAGTAATGTACATGTCAATGACAGTAAAATGTCCAAGATGTTATGAAATATTTGGCTTAGAATGATTGGTTTATTTGGGATGAATTATTTCTTTGTGGTTTAACACAGATGAAGTAAATGTTGACGTAGTTTGTATTATGTATGATCGCATACATTTGAATTTATTCGCGAAACTAGTTGTAGCTTTCGACAGTGAAAGTTAAAGGGATAATAACTCTTCGTATGAGATCTATATTTTACAATAAAAACATCGTGAATAACTCATAGCAATAAAATATATTCTGTATTACCACAAAAAGGGCAGTTATAGCTATTTTTCTGATATCTGAGCTTGTCTTTAGACCACGTGACCTCCATTGATGGCTATACTCTGTTAAAATCTCTTAAGAGATTTTAACAAAAAACCAAACTTTTTAGAAAAAAAAAAACAGGGACTAACTTTGAATGTTAAAATGGATTCATTAACCATTGGTAAGTATGGGAAAATTGTTGTTTACTCCAGGAAAATTCATTTTTTGGCCGAAACGAAGAGTTTTTATCCCTTTAACATGGAGTGTGAAGCGAGGGATAATACCACAAAATTTGGCCATCAAAATATAGGTGACTGTAAAGGGATAAAGTCTCTTCCCAAATCGTACAAATTCAAAGCCTTTTAGGCCCGTTTTACGAACGTCAATAAACTTCAATAAAAATGGAGTGAATATGTCTCCAGCGACCTTCATTGAACTAGAGATGTTTCCGCTTCCAATCATTCACACATGAAAGCTTAAGTTTGAACAAAGCTTTCCGTCTCTTTGTCTTTACCTTGACCAAAAAACCTGACAAGTGCAGACGCAAAAGAAATTATTGAACCAGGCTTTGCTAAGGTATTTCTTTTTAGTCATCAGAATTCTTTTACTTTATTAATGTTGGTAAAATACATCCTCAGTCAAAGGTGACACAAAAGCAGATTTCTGTCCATTACACTGATTGAGGAAGTCGTTAAAAGCAAAATGGACAGCTCTTTAATCACAATATGAGTCGCCAATTGAAGGATTATACGCGATTACGGGTGTAAAATGCCCAGGGGGGATTCATAGTTTATCTTGAAGCGTTTTTGTCAAAGATTGTTTCATTAATAATAAATTTGATAGCCACTGTATAAATGTCAAAGTAAATATGTGTACACGTTTATGTGCATGTATGTATACATCAGATACGATGTTACTGTATTATACAAGATAGATATCAAGGTTGTCTTCATGTATTTCATTTCATTTACTTGACTTTATCTTACAACAGTCAAGAGTGCTTATAAATCATGTCCTGTACTTTTAATCCATCAAAATAATGACGCATTGTGATTCAATTTGAACTGATGGTTCTCATAGTCAAAATGAGCGCCGTCTGCTTTCAGCTGCCAAGTATTCCAGGTTTAATTAAATTTCGTTGGTAACTAGGTGATTTATCTGTTTCTTATTGTCTTTTTAAACACTTTAGGTGACGGTGCTGACAAAGAAGAATACGAAGAAAATCGGGCGCTCTTTCCAAGTAATCTGTGCAGTTTTTGACGGGTTACTGAAAGGCTATAACTGCAACAGTTCATCCAGAGATTTACAACCTGCTTCCAGAGAACCATCCTGTCAGCAAAGCATATTTTGAGTGATAAAAACGGCATTCCGTGTCATCTAACACATCTGACGATTGAACAAAGTACCTTTGGATACGANGCCTACTAGGCTTAATCATTTAATGGTCTTCCCGCCCGCACGCGGATTAAATTTCGGCTTCGAGGCTTAATTACTAAGATCGGAAAGTCCGCGGGTCATCTGTTTTGAATGCTACCTAACATGGGCTTTAGAAGTCATAACGCAATGATTCGATGTTATTACTTCGTAATTAATTAAGTCCAATATTGGATCAGTCTCTCTTATCATGCGATATCAATCTACTGGACGAATCAGAAAATTCGCTGTCTTTCGCATGGGGAAGGTTCGTTTTTTGAGATACTTCCTCGCCAAAGTGACTGCGCATGCATTATAAGACGAATCATTTATCATGATCCGAGACAAATTTCCGGGTTTTCATTCGTTGGATTTTCTGTGAAAGAAAAGATTAAAGAAAGCATCGCTTCATTCCAATAAACTTCTCAACAATGTAGTGATAATCAAATAGTAATGTACATGTCAATGACAGTAAAATGTCCAAGATGTTATGAAATATTTGGCTTAGAATGATTGGTTTATTTGGGATGAATTATTTCTTTGTGGTTTAACACAGATGAAGTAAATGTTGACGTAGTTTGTATTATGTATGAACGCATACAATTGAATTTATTCGCGAAACTAGTTGTAGCTTTCGACAGTGAAAGTTAAAGGGATAATAACTCTTCGTATGAGATATATATTATACAATAAAAACATTGTGAATAACTCATAGAAATATAATATATTCTGTATTATCACAAAAAGGGCAGTTATAGCTATTATTCTGATATCTGAGCTTGTCTTTAGACCACGTGACCTCCATTGATGGCTATACTCTGTTAAAATCTCTTAAGGGATTTTAACAAAAAACCAAACTTTTTAGAAAAAAACCAGGGACTAACTTTGAATGTAAAAATGGATTTATTAACCATTGAGGTATAGGAAAATTGTTGTTTACTCCAGGAAAATTCATTTTTTGGCCGAAACGAAGAGTTATTATCCCTTTAACATGGAGTGTGAAGCGAGGGATAATACCACAAAATTTGGCCATCAAAATATAGGTGACTGTTCAGGGATACAGTCTCTTCCCAAATCGTACAAATTCAAAGCCTTTAAGGCCCGTTTTACGAACGAAAGGCCAGGTCAATAAACTTCAATAAAAATGGAGTGAATATGTCTCCAGCGACCTTCATTGAACTAGAGATGTTTCCGCTTCCAATCATTCACACATGAAAGCTTAAGTTTGAACAAAGCTTTCCGTCTCTTTGTCTTTACCGTGACCAAAAAACCTGACAAGTGCAGACGCAAAAGAAATTATTGAACCAGGCTTTGCTAAGGGATTTCTTTTTAGTCATCAGAATTCTTTTACTTTATAAAGGTTGGTAAAATACATCCTCAGTCAAAGGTGACACAAAAGCAGATTTCTGTCCATTACACTGATTGAGGAAGTCGTTAAAAGCAAAATGGGCAGCTCTTTAATCACAATATGAGTCGCCAATTGAAGGATTATAAGTGATTACGGGTGTAAAATGCCCAGGGGGGATTCATAGTTTATCTTGAAGCGTTTTTGTCAAAGATTGTTTCATTAATAATAAATTTGATAGCCACTGTATAAATGTCAAAGTAAATATGTGTACACGTTTATGTGCATGTATGTATACATCAGATACGATGTTACTGTATTATACAAGATAGATATCAAGGTCGTCTTCATGTATTTCATTTCATTTACTTGACTTTATCTTACAACAGTCAAGAGTGCTTATAAATCATGTCCTGTACTTTTAATCCATCAAAATAAAGACGCATTGTGATTCAATTTGAACTGATGGTTGTCATAGTCAAAATGAGCGCCGTCTGCTTTCAGCTGCCAAGTATTCCAGGTTTAATTAAATTTTGTTGGTAACTAGGTGATTTATCTGTTTCTTATTGTCTTTTTAAACACTTTAGGTGACGGTGCTGACAAAGAAAAATACGAAGGAAATCGGGCGCTCTTTCCAAGTAATCTGTGCAGTTTTTGACGGGTTACTGAAAGGCTATAACTGCAACAGTTCATCCAGAGATTTACAACCTGCTTCCAGAGAACCATCCTGTCAGCAAAGCATATTTTGAGTGATAAAAACGGCATTCCTTGTCATCTAACACATCTGACGATTGAACAAAGTCCCGAGAATCGCATCCACACGGTTACAAAAACAATACACTTTAAAAAGATATAGATGAGGTTTACGTCAGGTGGACTGGGAACAAAGGCAAAAGTTGCACTTTTACCGAATATTCTCGAAGAACCGTAACGCGTTGACTGCCGTCGGAGTTGAGTTGAGGAAGGATTTGTGACTGGAGCATTTGTTTCTGCAAACATATCTCAAGTCTACTGATGGAGTTCAAGAGACAAATCGCCGGATTTGTTGACACATTTCCAGACAATGGGACCGTTGATTGGAACACTAGCCTTGACAATAATTTATCTCTACTGGCGGACCATTTTCAACCACGTGCATTCTTTGCCAATGAATATTTTAATTACAGTAACTCTGGATTTGACACCTGCAGTATGGTGCATTTTTTACATCTCATCGAATTGTTTTCCTTTTTATGCCCAATATTCTTTACTGTTGTGTTTTTAATTGGTGTATGTGGGAACGCTTTAGTTATCTTCGTGATCATCTCCAATAGCTATCTGCGTACCTGTCCAAATATGTTATTCCTCAATCTGGCAGTGGCAGATCTGTTGTTCCTCTTGTTCTGTGTACCGTTACAAAATTTACATTGACTACTCTTTGGTGTTGGGCGAGTATGTTTGTAAACTTTTCAAGTACACGGTGTTTGTCACCATGTCAGTGAGTGCCTATACTTTGGTGGCTATTTGCGTGTTCCGCTGTATTGCCATTGCTTCGCCTTTGCACTCCTCTGTTACCTTAACAAAACGTCATTCGGGCACTGCGAACCTCATAGTTTGGCTCGCCATGATTGTCATTAATATTCCTGCCGCCATTTTCTACACGGAGCAAAGGAAGAACTATTGCCACTTTGTGTATCGCTTTGAATACCAAAAGTATATTTTCAACACAATCACTATTGGGATTGACTTTCTGCTGCCGATGATGTTGTTTTGCGGAGGAACTATGTTTATCATCCGTACTCTCTGCAAACGGAACAAAGCCATTTGCAAAATTAATGGAACGCAACGGGGAGCAACTGAAACCGAACACTCCCGCCGCAACACCAGAAAACTGATGGTCTTAGTGGTGTCCGTCGCCGTGGTTTACTTTCTCTCGTGGCTGCCTTTCCAACTTATAGCTCTTGTCAACACCATTCAAACCCACGGGACAATAGATGATTGTTCCTCATACGTTATCTCTACTGTCGCCCAGCTTCTTGCCTTTGCCAACTCTTGCTTTAATCCTATAATATATAACTTTGCCTCAGCAGGCTTCAGGCGGGCCTTCGTTAAAGCTTTGAAATGTTGCCCCATACTCCGCCTTAGACGTACGTCAACAGGGGAAACGCGCAGCACGAATCTAGGTATGGGGGATATCCCAATGGGTGACAGACAATCAAGGAAGCGTTTGATAACCAGCTAAGTGTGTTTAAAAGACTGGTCGATGCAGGTCTGAATTTGTCCTTTGTACCACCAGGGTAGGCGCTGGCGGTAAACATGGTTTTAGTCCTTACCTGTCTCGTCCGTCGGCTCCGTTGGCTCCATCGCCACGTCACCGTTACCGCTTCCCTTTCTCAGACTATAGAAAGGCCTCTTTGCTTTAGGTTACATATAATTTCAAAATGATTCACGTTGATTTGGGGATCTCTCGGAGCTTGGGCCTATTTGTGGCGTCATTCGCAATCCACCCTTGTCCAAATTATAGAAAATTAAAAGCTAAATATCTCCTAAACCGAAAGAATGATTGGAACAGTTACTATAGAAACCTGACCAAAAGTCAGTGGAAATTTAAAATGTGTCATTGGATTTGACCTTTGACCTTTATATCAAGGTCAAATGGACCAAACTTTTATAAAAAATTGGAATTTTCTGTGAAATCAATATTTGTTTGTGTTCATTTTCAGAAACTACAAGGACCTAAGTTTTATATTTATATTGAGGAGTTAACTCTAAAGGTCTCCATTCATCTCCGTGGGTTTGGTGTCAATCGGTGTATTTTCACGAGAGAAGCAGCTATTAGAACCCAAAATCCAAAACTCTCTCTCTCTCTCATTCCAGCACCGTTATCGCCAGAGACCTCTTGTCAATTTTTGTTTTCCACACGGTTAAAGAGTATCGCTTTATTAAAAGAACAAAGTTTCTTTTGAATTTTAATAGAAATTCATGTATTGGCACTCTTACTGTGACTTTGAATTTGACATTTGACCCACTTTTCATCATGAACTGAACTTTGCAAAATGTTCAACCCCATATACTCTGCATAAACCGGCGGAGATATGCCCATAGTTACTATATAACTTTAATAAAAAGTCATTTATTTGCAGTCTTACTGTGACATTGAATTTTAACTTTGGTCCCATTCAGAATAGGGTACTAACTAGTCCGAGGCTCAAATATGGCGACACACTACAAAGCATGCCGTCTGACCCGCTAATAGACACTGAATTGATATCCCGTGGGGAAGTATTCAAGTGGGTCAGCCATATATGGCCCTCGGACAAGTAAGTCCACTGTTCTGAATGAGTCTATGACCTTCTTTTCACCATGAACTGTGTTTTGCATTTGGAAGAAAACCTATTTCTCCACAACTAAAAAGATCATCCTTAGCTACCTTTAAACTCGAATGGGGTTTATCTCTCTGGAATTAAGTTACTCTCACTGGTGGGACAATTCCTGGGGGCGACATCGCCCCTCAGATCCTCCAGTTTGACATTTCTGCGAAGTGAAAGCCGGTAATAGGGTACATTTCGCATGTTATGGAAACTAAAGCGCCGTACAAAATACCTCCTGTTTTTTAGCTATCAATAGCGAGTTTTGTTTGTTTGTTTGCTTTTTATAATACGCTATTTTGATTCAGAATTAGCTGCAATTTTTTAATGTACTTCGAACCCTTTTCATCTTTGTAAGTTCCTAAAAATATGGTGCTAACTGGCGACCTCATATCAACAAAACTTTTTTGTTTAGAACTTTACCGCAAGACGTCAAAAACAGGTCGCAGCTTTTCTATACTTCGGCGTATTTTAATCAAAATTGTTTCCTTGGTGATGACGGTTCAGCATGTGACACTTTGTTAAATTCTAATTTATTGGGTGTTGTCGTAATATGCTTGTACAGACAGAGTTGTTCAGAATGTAATATACATTTATTATTATTCGTTAAGTGATAAGTTATCATCAGTGACGTATACTATGCCATCCTTGTTTGAAAAAGCCCATATGTAATTGTAATTGGGCAATATATTAGATCATTGCATGGCTAAAGACATATCAAGATTTAAAATAAATCGTCTAGACAGAAGACCGACCACAGTGTGTGATTAATTAGGTTGCTGTCATTTTATATCATGCCAGAGGAGTCAACTATCGACTGAGATGTCAATCCAAGTTGCACGTATGGCTGGAGTCAAAAGACTGGTTTTTTGTAATGCGTCGCCCAGGGACAAAATACAGTCTGTAAGACACTTGCACTATGCGTAATGATACTCAGAGAAAATAGCGTTAGTTAATCTATTTAAGTTGACATCTAAGCAGACAGTGGGGGCGTTGAGCTGACTTTTTACGATTTATATAATTACGTATTTCATAGCCTTGCGAAATGGATGTCTCCAATTACATTGTTTCATAGGTCATTATGTATATGTTACATACAGAATTGACATTTAATATTGAATATTTCAGTTTTAAAGGTATACCTCGGTAAAATGCGTTCTTTTTTTAATACTCAGATCCCACATAAGATATCTGACTGGAGAAGCATGAAGTCAGGTCTGTCGCTACCAATTAACTGACTACCAAGTCTGTTGCACTGCTGCATTGTGTAATATGCAGTGATTAATTGGCTAGTGCTCCTTCGGGCTGGTCAAAGCTTGGCTTTGATGAAGCATGATTCTGTCAAAAAAGTATCCATATGTCGGCAACTACTGTATCGAAGATTTTTTTAATTTGATGCAAGCGGTCAGTTTTGCAGTGGGTAGACTGAGTTAAGCAGTGTTTTATAAAAATTTTAAGCTGTGCCAGAATGGCACGAAAAAGACAGAAATTGCGAGACAGTTTATTGTGTCAAACGGAATGGTCTGCATAGTTTTATAGAGTTATGCCAAGACTGAAGTACCTACACAGAGACCACACCCAATGTATCGACATCTCACCACCAGGGTACAGGACTCACTGCCCTTCAGTATATGCTGCTGTAGTGAAAGCAAAATCACCCAGTCCGTTTTGAATGATTGGCTAATTGTCACCAAAACGCGTTTTAAGGCTCTTAGCAAACACCAAAATGGTTTCAGCAGGTTAGGATATCAGGCGACCTCTGAGAAAGCCACTGTAAACAGCAAAACAGCGTAGTCTATTTCTCTAATTAATTGGGGACCATGACCGTTGCTGGGTAGAACACTGAAACCGCGTGGCTTTCTTTATTGAGGTCAGATTTCATCCGCACAGCTAAACTGATCGAATCAGATATTACAGACATCCTGCAGAGGCCGACGACAAGGCGTGTGCAACCTTTTAAGTGACTAGGATCATTGACAGCGTCACTATTTGGAATTGATACCAAATTTGTGCCAAAACACTAATGGAAGTCATCGATGAAAACCTGCATCAGATCAAATAAAGCAATACTCTGGGAACCACTTGACCATCATTTGATAGGCCACACCTTAGGAACAATTTTAGGTTGCACGATGAGATTGCCGGTTCACACATAGCACTTTTGATAGCAGATAACTTACAGAACCAAGGAACTGAGCAGCTACCTTGGTCATCAAGATCGCCATATTTGAACCACATAGACAATATGTGGGTAGGTCATTACTCGCAGAATCAACGGCCTGCATGTCCTACAACAAAACTGAACCAAATCGGAGAAGTTTTAACCGTTGCCTGGAATTTTATTCCAGATTAAACTCTAAAAACTTATCCTAAGGAATGCCCTGCCGCTTGAAAGCTCTGGTAGCAGAAATCCGGTCCGGCGTAACAGCGACCATTGCTGTGACTAGACACTGACATGAGGGGCCTTTGTTGGGCGTGTACCTCTTTTAAAGACGATAATTTGGAAGATATGGAGATCCGAAATATCGCTTTCAATTGTTGTCGTACACTTTTAAAATAGACAATGAATTTTTGTTTGCTTCACTAGCGAATTCAATAAATGAACTGATGTCACCTTGACATCGAACAGATTATCAAAAGTTTTTAAAACACGACTTTTATCCTTATTTTCATTTATCAGTCAGCAAAATAGGAAAAAACTGATGAATCATGATTTGGAGAAAATATTCCATATTAAATGTCAATTCTGTATTAGTTTTGATAATGTATCTGGCGTAAGTAAGATGGCCGATTGTGAGCTAATGCAACCGCTCCTCTCATGGGGGAATGTGATAGTAATTAGTTTGCGCAGTGTACATATGAAGATCGGTTAGCACCTACAAATATGAAATTGCACCTGCAGCCGTTAACGCACTCCGTTGAATGAAGCAATTCTGCATTTGCCAGCAGGCGGAAATATCTGTCATGCCCTTTCTTGGCAAGATTCTGGACGGCATGTCGACGATCTGATCATAACAGTAGACTGGGAACGTTTAAAATAAAGAATGAGAACCCATTGTGTTTGAGTAACGTAACGGTAGATTAAGGTTGCCATAAATCACCTCAGCTGACAGGGTATTGATTTATTGCTTGCCAGAAAGAATAAGGTATTATATAAAAGAAATGTTGAAGCGAGAAGATAAAACTGTCGAGTTACGCAATATGAGAGATGATTTGTTTCTAGTTCTGGGACTTTTATTCCCAGTGTGGTGGCTCTTAAATGCTTATTGTCATGTCACAAATTATTATCTGCTTTTTTCAAAATCGATATGCATAGTATAAGGAACACTCTGTTGTTCGAGTATTTGTTGTTGAGATAAATGTTGACAACTTTATTATAAAAATTCAATGATGTTATCTATACAACCTTTCATTTGTACATATTTTATTTAATTTTACTCGCTTTTATTGTTACCCGTAATAAAAAGCCTCCGTCATATAACTTGCTGTGACATTTTATAAATAATGGAATTTTTTGACATTCGTTTATACAACATTGGTGAACTGAAATATGTTTTACACTGTATTGATTATCTACTAAACTCCTACTCCAAGTCTTGCGTGATCAAGGTTCATTCAACTTTACTGCGGAAATGAGAGAAAGCCAGGTTTTCAGACAAGGGGTGTGTCAGGATCCAGAATTCATTATAGCGCCAGATTGTCCCCTTTCTTTTATTCGACCTACATCTGAGAAATGAGACAGACTTGTGTTAATATTTGGCTTATATAGCTACCGTTAGTCTGGGTATCAGATACACTTCTGTTGACTGCGGTACATATGTGCCTACACACACTGTACTGTAGCATAAAGTTTGTCGAAACCATGAAAACAAGATATATTTAAGGTCTATTGCTTAGCGTGCTTTTATTTTTTCCACACCCGTTGTTTTGTGAGAAAGTTTTTTTCAATTGAATTATCATACATATTTATTTCATATCAAGTTTACAGGTATTACCTGTGTTTTTATTTTCATGTGTATTTTAATTAATAATGAACCAATTTCAAATGAGAAATTTGAATGTTATTTATTGTTTAACCCACATCTTTATTTCAAATTGTACAATACATTTTCTGTTAAGTAATATGTCTTCAAATATAAAGTTCTGCTTCCTTTAAAGCCTTTTAAAATTGTCTTGAAAAATGTTCCGGTTAATATCATCCCCAGAAATCAAAGATTCTATGGAATTTTTCTTCATTGCTTTATTTCTATTTTCGATTTCTTTTACGCCTGCGATTATTTCGTCGAATAAATTTATCTCCTTGTACCCAATTTAATCGTGTTTTGATGACTCCCCAATTGCCACGATAACAATTTGAAATAATTGATTTTTTTAGATAATTATAATTAGGTTTTCAGATTTTTTTCTAAAACATCATGCGTCTGCATTACGTTATTATTTTAAATAACACCAATATACCGTTCGTGCAGAGATTACATAAACTGTATGCGTAATTATTACATAAAATATAATTAATGTTTAATGATAGAGTATATCAATGTGGTATTTTGGAAGAGGTTTTGGTAATTACCTTGCGTGTGACAGCACAGAAGTCACTTGTTTGCCTTAGCGCAATAAATGAGCTTTCAAAAATGAATAAAATGGTGAAATAACTCAGTCTTTCAGCGTTTGCAGTCTGTTTATTTTCTTATTAACTTTGCTCTGTGTTGTCGTTTGAAAAAGTGTATTTTCGCCCCAAAGAGACTCCCCTCCCTCTTCAACAGAGATAAAATACTCCGCAAAGCAAAAAGCAAAATTGCAAAATACATAGAAAATCATTGAAAGACCAATTGCATGTGATTGATCCACATTTTAAATGGCACTTTTCCTTCGAGGCTACTTGTCTACCAAACATTTTTTTGAAGCATCTGCAGTGAACGTTCCTGCCACTTTCAACATACTGTGTGTTGCAAGATCTGATCGGTGTACATGGATTTCATTTTTCTGAGGCCGGAGGAGGAGGGGGGAATCTCTTGGGCCAACGACCGCGCAGTCTAATTTTATAAACTAATACATATGATATATAATAATGGGAATCCCCTTCAAAATAGATAAAATGAGAGATATTTTAGCAGAGTCCGAGGTAATTACTTTCATACACATGCACTATATGTAACACCTGTTTTGTATGATTTTTCATATTTACACCTATCAAACATAACAAAAAGTCTGTCACTACTGGCAGGCTTCGTCAATATAAAAAAAAAACGCATTCACCGCACTAGTGCTAACATTTGATTTGTGCGCTTACTGTACAGTCAATTAGACTATAAAGTGACGCATTGGCGTTTTAGTTTTATTGCAGCCTCTTTTTGTGAGAAATTCCGCAAATAATGGGAACTGAGGAATGCGTTATGTTCTTTACGATAGCAGGGCCGTAGCCTCCGGGGGGGCAGGGGGAATTTGGAATTATACACACCACACCCTCCCCCCTCGGTAGCTTCGCCCCCTCGTGTCCCACACTCGATCTTCAGGGATTCTGCCTTTAACAGCACATATGGAAACAAACAAGGAAGTGTAGGTTCTGTCTTTATTAGGAACTGTAAAATGTCAACACCATAACAAAAAAAGTGTTTGATAGAAAAAAAAGAATAAAACATGTGGAACAGACAAATAATTGTCAGGTCATCAATCATGGGAATGTCATAACATGATGGCTTGTTAATGCAATATTAATGTAGTTGGCTCCTGTGGGCCAATATTGATCATGCATGCAATGTATGAAAGATACCTTGTATGGGGTAGATTCCCGATACAAACTTTTCCATCATTTTGTCTCTAAAACTACTTTCCGATTTTACCCACAAAGGTCCGTTATACTTTACTCCACCTTCAGTTGTGAATGTTGCAGAAAGGAGTAATTTATTATGTCACAGGTGACTTATAAATTAGTGAAATGTTACCCTTTTTTTCTCAACACCATTAACAAGCATGTATATGTCGGATTGCCTCGTTAATCATATATCTATATATAAACAATAATGCTAACAACAATAATTTGTTCATTAAAAAAGACCACAACATGATAGTCGTCATAGCACACAATTTGTGACATGGTGGCTTTTTAAATAACCATGCAGCGATCACAACAAAAAGATATTAATACATTTTTGACCTTTATTTTATTCTTTAAACATGATGCAAGAAAAAAAGAAAAAAAAAAACCCGACCACATCCCTAAATGTATTGTATCCTGTTTTTTGACCATCTGCCTAGCAAAGCTGAGAACATCGGGTTATTCATGTATGTATATATAATAGACTCCAATACTGAATATGGTGGACAATCTTCATAGTAAAACAAAATTTTAAAAAAAGCAGCACACAGAAAATACTTCTTGTATCCATCCCACGTTTCTCCAGACATTAAGCGATGCAAACTTTTCAAAAGTTCACAAGTATGTGTTAAGAGGTTTATACCTTTCTACACATCATCAAAAAGTCAAAACTACGAAGCCCACCTGGCCTTCCCAAGTGCCAACTTGCTGCTTCAGAATACCCGGCTGGATACTGGCTGAATACCGAGTAACGTTTTAATGTCAGTCCGCGTCACAAGTGAAATACCGAGGACTGTTCATTGACCACCATTGATAGTATTTTACTCCGAAGTTGTTTGCCTTCGTAAGTGTACGTCATTTAATGGAATGTCCGCTTGCGTGTTCCTTGTCTCTGTCGTTAACGAACGCTGCAATCGAAAGACTGGGCAACATTGCAAGGCATTGATGAATGCTCTTCTGAAGCCCGCAGAGGCAAAATTGTAGATGATGGGATTGAAGCAAGAGTTGGCAAAAGCAAGGAGTTGAGCAACAGTAGAAAAAACGTAGGGTGTAGTCTTAACGATGTTTATAAGGGCAATAACGTGGAATGGCAGCCATGAGAGAAAGAAGACCACGGCGACGGTTATCACCAATACCACCAGCTTCCTGGTGTTGCGTCGTGACTGCTCGTCTTCAATTGAACCCCGGTGCAACGCATTCATTTTGTACATTGTTTGGTTCCGTTTCCGTAGCGCATGTATAATAAACATAGTTCCTACACAAAACACTGCCATGGGCAGTAGAAAATCAATCCCAATGGTGATAGTGTTGAAAATGTACATTTGGATTTTAAGGTAATACACAAACTGGCAATGATTGTCCCTTTCTTCTGTGTAGAAAATCGCGACAGGAGTGTTTACTGCAATCATAACTATCCAAGTTAAAAGACTCGCAAGGCCCGAATGGCGTTTTGTTAATGTGATGGATGACTGCAAAGGCGAAGCAATGGCAATGCAGCGGAAAATACAAATGGCCACCAACGTATAGGCACTCACTGACATGGTGACAAACACCGTGTACTTGAAAAGTTTACAAACATACTCGCCCAACACCAAAGAGTAGTCAATGTAAAATGCCCCTTGTAACGGTACACAGAACAAGAGGAACAACAGATCTGCCACTGCCAGATTGAGGAATAACATATTTGGACAGGTACGGAGGCAGTTGTTCGAGGTAATGACATATATCACAAGGCCATTTCCACACACACCGATTAAAAACACTACACCGAAGAATATTGGGCACAAAAGAGAGAACAACTCGAGGAGCTGCAAGAAACGTAACAGTTCGCTGTTATCGAAGCTGGAGCTGTTGGAGCTGCCATTCGTCATGTGGGCGGTCAGGCCATATATGTCTTGCAATGGAAATGAGCCATTTGCAGTATCATATGTCCCACTGGTCGTTCCATTTTCTAGCAACGCGTCAGCTTGTCTTGACATTTGTCTCTGATAATTACCTATCAATGCCATTTCAGTTTTAATATTTCAAGTTTCCAAATGTCATTTATTTCAGCAGAAATATATGTTATGAACTCCCAGTGTCGTGAGAACAGAAAGCTGAACACAATCTGCCTTAGGTGGCACCCCCAGAGAACCGCATTTCACCCATGCTGAAGAACATTCCAGATAGTTGAATTCTTCATTGTCAAATAGTTCCACTGTTTCTCACGGAATGGGAAATAGTTCATTGTTTTGTCCCTTTTTAAATGAAATCACGCCGTGTCCCATATGTGCGGATTAATTGCCGTTCGCATGCTCGTGACTGCTGTATACGATCTCCTTGCCAAGGCGCAAAACACGATCCAAAGCTCTGTGTACTTTACTCTGTAGAATTATGCCTCTAATAAACTGTCATCTCCGAGTCCATTATCTTAATCGTCAGTTGTTGGAAAAATTGAGATCGTACAATTCGATAAAACTCTAGATGTTTAATCCACTTTTGATCCAGTCAATTGTCCATACATAACCTGAAAAGTAAGCAAACCAATAATATCACAAAATTGTTTAGTATCAGAACTTTCAAGGACAATAAGTTCAATAACATTTACCACTTACTCACTGGGCTCTCTTTTTCCCGTGTTTCATCCTCGCCAACTTCTGGCAAAATAAACCACCACTGAGAAAAGCTACCTCCAACAAGAACAGAGATGAACAACAGTCACGCTATGCCATAAATCAGTGAGAAAATATGTCCCAATACGTCACCCCAGTTTTCAATCATCGGGCAAAAGCGTTAACGTAAATGATCGACTCTCTCACTCCAGTGAGCTCTGCTGCCACAGTAATGGTAGAGCTGTACATTAAGACAGACGTTCCGCTAATAATCATGAAAAGACCGAGTCCTTCTCCATTATACACGTTATCATTTAGACGTGCTTCTATGTAGTAGGTCGAAGCTTAAGCAATCCATCATATACTGTCCGCCCTTGAACCTGCCCTAAAGTCACATTTTCCGTGTCAACATACTGTGCAAAGATACTGTTTCTTTATTTATAATTAAATAAAAGCGATAAAAATCCCTCACAGTAAAGAACCTAATATAGATATAACCATCCGAAATGTGCCAGGAGACACATGTTTAGCAGTCCAAAAGTTACTTGGAATTTTCAAAACTACTGGTAATCTTTTAAGAATTTATATAAAACGTCGAATCATGGTGCACGGTCAGATCCAGTAATGACTCGTGAATAGGGGCATTTTTAGGGAAACTTCGATTTGGAGAGATTATCCCGGACACGGTACCTATGTAAATTATTTTAGTATTAAACTGTGTAAATATTTCAGTGGTATAACTTTTCAGTAACTTGGCAGAAAGATTTTGAGAAAAAATAATCCGATGAAATGTAGATTATATGGACATATAAAATCGACTATTAATACAACCAACATGTTTCTGCTGTCAAAAGATATTATTCACAATGGGACTTTTACTAACTACATCTTCCAGCCGGTATAAAGGGGATGTTCATCAGCTTAACTCCAGACAGAGAATGCCATGATAAAACAACCCAGTTCCCATTCAAATCTCTTATACTGCTTACATCAATCTAAAATCCCATAGAGTCTGATCATAAGGGGTCTGTCGAGCAGCATTAAATGTCCCTCCATCTCTTACGCCAGAAGTTAGTAATACCCATAACAATCTAGGGGAAAAACGTGTTGAGTACAGGGTTCCAAAGCAGATGAAAATCTCATTTTAATTAGGAATGTAAATTTAATTATTTAAAAATATAGGCTGGTATATGAATTTAGCTCAAATAAGGTCATCCCACTCACTGGACATTTCCATCCATTTTTCGAAACCCCAGTACATCAATGTTGGCCTTGATAGGGATATTTTCATTGTAAATTGGATGATATGAATATTATGATGTATTGTGACGGACAGTATTGTGTCACGGGCTTCATTTTATCTAAAAACGCAGTAGATGACTTTATTCACGGTAAAGCCAGGCATTATGGGTGTTTTAAACTCCAATTCTCAACGGATTTTAAATTGGGTCGATTGCCCATTGCGTAAATTAATGATGTTTTGTGGAAAAGTGGATGGTATTTGAAGGTACCTTATGGCGTTTTCAGCATTACACTTAATGCACGAGGGTCAATTAATTTCATTTATTTCCTCCATAGGGATCTATCCTTGAGGCCGTTGTTAGTTCGTCGAATACTTGAACGCACGCGTTTCTTTAGCTACCAAAAAGGTTGCAAAACTTAAGGCCTACCCGCCCTCATATCGTGCCTCACGCTAATTGATGAAGAATACGTGATTTAGCCAGCTTCATGTTCATGATAAAACTTTAAATGTGAAAATCAATTTTAATAACGTTGCAGAAGCAGTTCACAAACCTTACAGTTTCTAGAAAAAAGCGTAGGGCACAATTTCATGTGCGATTTGAATTTTGTCACTTTACACTTGCCACAGGTAGAACGCATAAAAGCAAGGGTATTTATAGCCTTTTTTCTGAAGAGTAACAATATCTTCAACCGTTCTGTGTCTTGTAATTTACACATATAATGCCATGTGTAAGGTTCCAGAACTCTAAAATTACTGCTTTATGAACCAGTCACGCTAAGATTTAATTTCCTCCTAAATCGAAAACCTTTGCCTGGGCCTATTTTGATAGGCTTCTGCAGAAATCTTTTAAAAAAAAGAACGGTAAACTTTTTCTTTTCGCGTCAGATTGCTCATCAAACGGCAAAACACAAAGGAAGAGAAATACAAAACAAAGCAAAATTTTGACTATGGACATCGACAGATACTTGGAAAATCAAATACAGTTATAGTGGGTGATGACATTTAATCTTATCGGGGAATTTAAATACACCAAAGATCTGTGACAGAGATAGGTCTTCATGGTGTTCACCTTGAAGACGCTATTGTTCGGACTAACGTAACAGGTACAGAAGGCAAAACACTGGCACTTAATACTCCAAAAACAACTGGTTGTGATATTTATACTTGACCTGGACGACATTTAGAAAGCGCTCCTTTCTTTCCCTTCCTTGCTACAACAACCTTTCTCTGTGCAGTCTCTCGCTTGTAAGGTTTCACTGGTCCTGAATTAATGACTGAAGACGATGAACAAATAAATGAAACTCTGAAATTGCATAAGCACGCAAAAGTTGTTTAACGGTCTTCAGCAGTAGATGCTAAATCCAAATAACACAATAAATGTACCCCACAAACTAGCCCTTCGCTCAAATTTTGTCAAATGCCATTTACTTCTCCAGGACTTATAGTCCGGCTATCTGCACAACTAAACGCTTGGTCTTTCCATAATGGTACTGGTAAGTTCTTTTGTTCTTATCAACATTTTTTACACAGACACGTTTCCTCCAGCTGGGACCAACGAGGGCTGAATACATCTTACTTATCAGGTCCCAATGCGGTTTATAACTATTAGCCTTCGATGATCACTGCTTATCTCTTATGCAAATGTCATATCTGACGGATATTCGTCTTATCTGTTTATTCATTAATTTCACGCAATTTTTCGGAAATAGCATTATTGACGTGTCATAGGTATCGTGTAAATGGCAAGCTTCAGAGTTCACGTTAAGCTGACCACCAATGGTAGGTCGTATGGATATTTTCCCACCTTTTCAAATTTTCGATTCCACGAATAAAGTGGCTTCCGTTACGTAATTCCTTAATCAACAAAAATAAAACGTTACGTCTCCCACAAATGTAGACTTTGATAAAGCGTTCAACAATGTCGATCAAGGCTTGTAGTTTTATAAATTGCTCAAAAAGTAATATATAGGCAAACTGCTCACGAAAATAAACTCAATGGCTTCAAATGTCAGTGTATGCAAATTCTGGGCAATGGCAAAATCCATCCCTGTAGGTGGCGTAGGGCAAGGCGATAAGCTTTTCCGAAATTCCAAAACGATTTGACTGTAATTCAGTTCTGGAGTGCCTATAGGCTGTTCTAAGCAATTCACTGATGTTATTTTCAAGCGCCATATTGCCATGGCCGAACAGCAAACCGCCACGGCTTTGCAGATTAGGCCAATTTTGAATCTGATTGTTGTTGAAGCATCAAAGTCCAATACTCCCTGTCTCAGGTCATATCTGAGAACCTTAATTCCTCCAGACGCTGACGCCGGCTTTGATTAAAGATAACAAGACGAAGATACAACAACATACAAAGTATGTTATATGAAACTGCAAATAATTAATACCATTTCCAATTTCAACTTTGAAACCTATGTAATGTACTCCGAAGGGTACTTACGTTAACTGACTTCATTGTAGGAACTTTGATCTCACTTCTAGCTTTCTCTTTGATCCTGGTTACCATGTTTCAATATTTAAACCGAACATGAACTGTTTTGATCATGCCACGACTACTCAAATAAAACAAAGCATCTGTTAAGCTATGGCTTGTAGCAAGATAGCCTGCAGATTGCCGGGTGGTCTCTATTTTGTTGAAATAAAGAGACTAAAACTAAATATTAGGATAGATTTATTAAAATTGACGTGAAAATCCACTAGGCACGCTTCTTTCATCTGATATGTCTGTCAGAAAGGGCAGAAAACGCCCCCAGAACTTAAATTCGCAGTGCACTGTATAGAGACAATGGACGTAAGAGGCTTGGAGGGTATCCTCATAGTAATAGTCGAGTATTTGTAAGCTAGTGCAATCAGCAAACACCCGTTCCCATGCTTAATTTAGAACATTAATGGTAAAAATGGTAAAAACAAAGAATGAAATGCTAGTCTCCCCACGTATTTTGTGGAATGTTTATTTTAAAGTGGCCAAAACTTAAGAAAAGTTTACATGTAGATAGAAAGAAAAATGTGCTTTATTTTAATAAGTGCCCTCTTTTTGAAAAGTTTGACTCCCATAGAAATAGTACTACTTGTTTACCCCTAATGAAAACGAGGAGAAGTTGGAATATACAAATATCCTGTTTGATTTTAAATATTTGCCTGACGTGTACATGTAACATGGTTATAAGCCTTTTTGGAGATACCTTCAAGGTGCATACTCTACAAGTTATCAAAACAAAGGTCAAATCTTTGAAACAGACTCCCATGTTATCAGTTTTGGTTCGATCTTATGATAGTTCAAACAACATTTCCTTTTTTACGTCGTGGGAACTGCTTTATTTAACATCCGTAATGGCGCAATCAGAAGAACCTACACTTTTTTTCAATTTTCCAGTAAGGCTTTTATCTTCTACGCCATGAGACGGGGAGAAATATCGATAATCTGCAGGATGACATACAAGCACAGTCAAAACATGAATGGCTGAGTTGAAAACAAAACTTGTGACATGGGGATATGGCACGTTTTAGGACCCATGTAACTGCACCAAAGGGTTTCCACTTAGTTATATACATTGTATAGGGGGTAATTTGTTAAGAAATTCACTGCAACTGCATGGAGAAAGCACAAGTGCAAAGAGTACACTTTTATTACATTAATGACTGATAAAAACTGAACTATGAACTATCATCAGTGACCAACAGCGGAATTTAAAGTTGTTGTCTTTGTCTTTTGTTGTTACGCAAGGTAGTAAAATACAACTCTGTTATAATCTTTAATATTATGTTCCAAACTACTTTCCCGTTGGTTTCAACGCCGCTTTCTTCCATTTCTATCTCTACCGCATGCTTTCTCTAGCGGCTTTCTCTCGTTTACATCATACGCGCAGTTGTATAAGTATCATAAGAACATGTCAGTCAACTCAGTGACTCTACAAAACACTCCCCACTCCTTATGGATTTCAATTACTAACATGGCTTTTATTAGGTTTAACATTGAAACAAAGCCCAATTCCACTGACAGTAGTGGGTACTGAGATGTACGTGGTAATAATTCTTTCTTGTCGTATCTAGATTCTGTGTGGGGAATTTGGTTGAATGTACATTATCAAAACATCAAATGCGTTTATGACATTGAGGAAATTAACTGACGCTGCAACCTGAAAAGAATCCGCTGGTAGAACATTTGATTTAAAGGATAGTCTTAATAAATATAATATTAATAGATATTACTCTGATAATATCACTTTGACAATCAGAAACACGCATAGACACACAGAGAAATAAATAAAATAAAAACAAAAAACAAAAGAAAAAAACAATGAAAATTGAATAATAGACAAGCAAAACACACTAATGATTAATTGAAGGATTATTTTAAAAGCATGGCAACTTCCAGTATCGATGACTCACAGCTGGGCCCTGCAGATTGTGAAGCCGCGTGTGTGGAAAATTTAATACGCGTTTGGAAGGATTATTTAATTGACAATACAGGCGAATTGTGACCAAGATAATGGATATATTGCATGTCATTTCAATGATTTATGTTTTACCATCCTGTACAATCCGAAAGCAGGTTCTTCAGACATAAAAACTGTTTATATCATGTGTACACGAACCATTCCGTCCATAATCACAATTGTTCATTTTGGTTAAAAATACATGAAACTAGGTCAAATGGATTAATACAGTAGCACTGATGTAGTAACATTTCTGGATATGGAACCTGGGCTTAGTGACACTAAGGCCTTGCCAAAAGCATATCTGGCCACGTTCAATAGCATAACATGATTTCAGAATGAGAACTGTGTCTAACTCCGATACTGGGACTTACATTAGCAAATGACCGACGAGGCGGTCGCAGGCTGAAACCTTTCACTAGTAAATGGCGTGAATGGACTGGTCATCTCAATGACTGACACAACTGACTGGGAATAGTCTCCAGCGCCCTGTCCCGTCTGTGCGACGGGCCTCATTTTTGTTAAGCATCGAGCTGAAATTTTGGGTCAACCTAAGGGGGTACAACGTTTCACATTTTCAATAAATGAACTCTCTCTTATCATGCGACTAACGATCTGCAAACCTGTTGATTGTATTACCATCGGCAGGGGGTCTAAAACACTTAAAGTGATAATAACTCTTCGTTTCGGCCAAAAAATGAATTTTCCTGGAGTAAACAACAATTTTCCCATACTTACCAATGGTTAATGAATCCATTTTTACATTCAAAGTTAGTCCCTGGTTTTTTTCTAAAAAGTTTGTTTTTTTGTTAAAATCTCTTAAGAGATTTTAACATAGTATAGCCATCAATGGAGGTCACGTGGTCAAAAGACAAGCTCAGATATCAGAATAATAGCTATAACAGCTGTTTTTGTGGGAAAACAGATTATATTATATTTTTATGAGTCACTCACAATGTTTTTATTGTGAAATACAGATTTCATACGAAGAGTTA